CCTGATACTCTTGTGGCTCAGCGTACCCAGTACGTCCTATCTACCATACAATCGAGCCGGGAGCTGTTACAACCAGGATATCCTGTAGCCCATTGGTACACATCTTTCGCGGACGTTCGGAATTCGGGTTTTCCAAGTCTCCTCATTTAGGGTATATTCGTCTTCTTACCAAGAAACACGCAATGAGTGGGATCTCTCCACCAGACAGTCTAACAGATGCACTTAGTGAGGTTTGCTCGCCCCGAAACAAGAACGAAAATTGGGTTATTTGGAATGGAATTGGTTAAAAAAATTTTTTCACGTATCATACGATTGGCTATCTTGTTGCCGCGTTCATTGACCCGCAAGCGTTCAGATTGATGGCATATTCTACAGTATGTCTCCGTGTTCATGAACGAGTTTCTAATGTTCTACCCGCCCGGTCGCTTCGTCAACCGGGAAAGATGTGCCCGGAGGTTGAACTAAACCGTGTTCCTATGGCCAAAATGAATGTCTCATCTCCCAATATTATATCATGATATTCGATGCGGCAGTTCACGTGTGTGTGTGTGTATGTGCATGTTTTGGACTTAAATGCAAAGAAGCCATGTTTCATGCTATTGTAAATTAGGAGTTATGCTCGCGTGAGGAAGAGCCCCGTGTCAGTTTGGATTGAAAAGTCCGTAGACGTATTGCACAGTTGTCATTCGTCCCGGTTTGCTAGGAATTCTTATAGTAATAATAACTCCTCGTGTTCGGGGTGCCGATTCGATCCCCGGTGGATTCACCTAATGCGTATTGGTGATGGTCACTCAACCTAACAAGCCAGTCAATCAGCGCTTCAGCAATTTTCCGGTGGTATGTTGCATGAACCGAGGCAAGCGGGTGACACACACACACACACACACACACATCCTTCTCCCGTCGTTTCGTAATGGTCATCAAAAATCTGGCTATAGAATCACAGACGCACACCAACTTTAGTTTGTTCATATGTGTGAAGAAGAAAAAAACATTACAAGTTTCTGATTTCGTATCCCCGCGTTACCAGTCTCAGAGTATACGAGAAGAAGAATCGGAAATGAGATGAATTAATCTCTACAGATGTACCCTTTCGAGTTATGTGTGTGTGTGCGTGTGTGTGTGTGTGGGGGGGGGAATACATTGGTTCTCTGAGCATTTAACGGATGAATATCTACCTGGTCTGCGGACATGAATGAATTAACGCATTTTTCTCCTGTATTTCATTTTACGGGAAAGTGTTGTACACTTGCCCGGAATTAAATATTGGTTCTTCCTTGACAAGAATAATCTGTCGGTTTCTCAATTGTAACAAAAACTATGGAATCCAAATAACTACCTGTTCATTGATTATATTGTATTCCGGAGTAGCAAAATATGAGAACGAGCTGAAGCTAGAAAAGAGACGTGAAGCAGGAACGTCGAAACTAGAAAGCATCTCGTAGCCTCGAAGAGATCACTGTTTCAAACTTCTTCACAATAAGTATTACTCAACTCTTATTACTTGACAAGTATGATCGTGTTAGGACTGTAAGAATGTGAAGAACACAAGTCACTGAACTGGAGCGTTTTATAGGGTCAACGGGTGAAATACAGATCAATAGTCATTCAACCTGCCATTACTGGCAGGTTCAATAGTGAAACCAATCAGTCACGTGACATCCGATGCGATCGAGCTGTGCCATGATGTGAGCTATCATCACAGATTGACTGAAGGACTGCGGTAAACTCCGTCATCATGTTCGACCATCAAACACCGGACAGCTGTTTCGTCCTTGTTCGGGTTCGTTAACAGCGCTTGTTCCTCTTGTGTCCCCATCGGGATTCGAACCGCGATTCTTCGTGGTGAGAGCACACGCTGGGAGTGCATGGCTGCATAAACTGAAAAGGTTTCGCTCATGTCCTTTACAAACTCACAAATACCAAATCCATCTCACAAAGAAATATCTAAGTAGTATGCGAATAACTGGAAAATATCCCCAGATGCCCTGCCACTCGTCAGGCGTTCGTAGCCGGTCACCTTTTGTCAAGTCATTCTTATCCTTTTACCTCCTATGAGGCAACCCAAGCATTATGGATGACATGACATGCGAGACTAAGGGAAATTGAGCCACTAGCATCAGTCAAACTGTTCAGTGAAATGTTGCAAAATTCCTGTGATTCGTAGTTCACAGTGTAACAAATCCAGAAGGTGGTACCAGGACGAGGAGAGTTATTTACTACAGATAACGATAAGGATATCGGTAAATTGACATATATACAACCAAATGTCTTCGGAAAAGTCTTCGGAATTCCCATAAGCACACAGGATAATTACTATAAAGGGCCGTTTTAAGCCCGGCAGTCGATGCGCACTCATTGTAGTTCCAAAAGTAAATCCTTTAATCCATTCGCGAATTCCATGGGAATTCAATAACCACCTCTTGGTGTGTGTGCAAACTACTCACAAGTGTGAGTAGTATCTCGCAACAGTGGTTATGTCCATACCCATTTTCGAGTTAATTTTCTGTTGAATGGTTAGTAGAATTTCAACTGGGGGTGATTTTGAGCGATACATGTTTACATATGACCAGGTGGGCACATGCGTGTGTGTGAAATAATGCGTCCCCGCTCCCCCCAGCACCATCATACACAATCCCGCTCCTCACGTGACCCACGCACGGTACATTCACATTTTTCCAATTCATCCGCAAATTGTTAGTATTATTCTCTGTTACTATGCTATTTGTAACCTGTGCATTGTCTATAGTAACCTTGCATACTGGTTAACCAACCAGTAGTCACATGGGAGATCCCATTGTTAAAGTTTTACATTTATACATGCATGTAAATATATGTATATCGGGTTTCGCCATTGTTCTACAATATTTGTCCCCTAAGATAGAACCTCGCAGGAGCCGGTGGATAATTTTCCGTGAAAGCGCGGGGAGGGGGAAGAGGTTACATAGGAACAAAATGATTGGAATTCTTATCAAAAAAGTAATGGAACGATTGGTTGCCCACCTCGGACAGTAATGTGACCCGTGTTAAGCGCATTTGTGCTTGAACATGCTTGACGGGATTGGGAGAGGAGGGAGGTTCCAGCTGGTTACTCCGCATTCTAAAGGCTTCATCATCAGTACTGATAGTCACGGACACGGGAGGAATAAACGGGCGATGTAGCCGGTGAATGTAGTTTCAGGCATGAAAACAAACGACACACAATTGTTTTATCCACTTGTGATATCATATTTCCATCTATAGTCAGAGTGACTAACATTTTGTGGCTTTGAAAACCGCCCGTCCACTTCGATCAACGGACGAGTTCTATTTAGTTCGTAGTTGAGCTATCTCCCCCCCCTCCCTGTGTATGGGTGTGTGATGGCATTTTCGGTCAGAGCAGTCACGTGCTATGAGTTCGATTCAACAGGAATTGTCGTCGAATTTCCGATCAAGGATTGAACTTGTCTAATTGTGTTTTTTTTTTTAACTTGAATCATTAATTTATTTTTTAACAAATTCTAACCACACATCTTGTTTTTCTGTCTTTTGTATCCTACTCCGTCCATCTACACTGGTAGTTTTCCCCTCGTGACTACACATCAAATACAACAGAACGATCCGGAATTGGATGCGGATAAGAAGACTATCATGAAGTAAGTTTTCAACTTATTCTACACTTGATGTCTAAATGCAACCATTCCAAAGAGAGCAACCTAAAGCGGCTGAGATATTTTGTGATTATGCAATTGAATGTTTGCGAATTTTGTGTGTGTGTGTGTGTGTGTGTGTATAAAACAGCAAAGGAGGCAAACTCAATAGTCATGGGGACAATCGAAGTCCTGAGATTTGGAGTGGTGGTGATTGATCAGTTTAAATTCCATCATAATTCAATCGTAATAATGGTAGCAAATGAAACAAGCAGTCGATAGCTGCATATATTTCCTCCTACTTTGTACACGCGTCTGGTACTTCTTCCTCGTGCTGAATGATGTTCAAATAATCCAACTATGGATTGTGCACACCACCATACATCACTCGCGCCACTCCAATGGATCACATGCTCAGCTTAATCTCTCTTTCTGTGTATGCATGTGTGTGTGTGTAGGCGGTGATGCCATAGACGCAAACTGATTGCTCTAAAACCAGTATGTACGTATGCAAACTTGACAAAGTTGTCATCACTCTTTGTTGACACAAGAGTATGCATTGTTCGGTTGGTTGTACTGGACCATTTTTGTTTTTCGTGCAAGCAATATTTGATGATGTAATTTTTTATTTTCATTTATGTCGAATACCTGTTTGGATAGATATTCGTCTGCACGCTCTGTGCCCGGAGCATGCATGCTATGGGTTAGAAGATCCCGGCCTTCCCACCGACCGTGTTTGCTTGTTTCCTTGGTTTTAGTGATAACAGGTGCGGTATTGAACCGAGTGTGCCCTTTCAGATCTCATCAGCCTTTCTCCACTCCACACGTGCATAAGACTGACACACGACACTGCGTAAGCTTTTATTTGGAACCACGATCTCAATCAGTACAAGTGAATTTCATTCAATGGACTCAGCATTTCAGACCCAACGGCACGTAATTTGTCGTGGTAACCGCNCTAAAACTATTCGATCTCGTTGATCTCCGTCATGAACGCTACTCGTTCTGGTGTGCTTACTTAGAATCCGATATACATCGCCCAGACACAGACACCAGAAAGGGGGGGGGGGCAAAAAATTGTCTGACCATCAGCATGATGCGCTCTTGTGGATATTGTTTCTAGTTTATCCATCACAGATTGAGTGTTTCGCTAACTGCCTGATGGATTTAGTGAGAGTTTTACAAGTCTACACAGTGGAGTTCGATGTGTACGCAAAAAATAAAGCGCATGGACCGAAAAGCTGAGCAGCATTGGACACAGTTGTTTCGATCGGGTTTGATCTCATCAGAAGTGAGCGAATCCATCTACCCAGTCAGAGCTCAAACCCGGGACCTCACGGGTGGGGATATTTGAATGAACGGACTACTGGTATGGGATCTGAGGTTTGTGGTGCTTTTGTGTGGATTGGTGACCGTCTGAAACGAATCGCAGACCAATCAAACAGACAGTGAGCTAATGAGGTTAAACTTCAATAAATAGAGAAAAATTTAAAAAGGCACGCAAGTGATGCAATGCACTTCGAAGCCATGGAAATGTGTTTTTAATTCCGCAAGTTTCCTCCACGGTGCATTTGTGGGTCCCGGAAACGAACAAATAAGAAAACCAGGATGCTACGTTCCTCGCCGTGTTGGTCGAACCTCACTTGGTATTTCTTCATCCTTATCTTTTTTCATCGTCAATTCAACCTACCTCCCGATATCAATTCACGGCCCATGCAAAACCAGGAAAAAGGTACACACGATGAGACCTGGAGCAGTCAATTCTATTTTACACGTTCCCTATTACCTATTTGTCGATGCACCTTGCGTTGTCTGTCTGTCTGTCTGTCTGTCTGTCTGTCTGTCTGTCTGTCTGTCTGTCTGTCTGTCCGTATCCATCTTTTTATCTTTCAAGCATCTGTTCAGTCACACTATTGAAACACAAACTATCGTCATTCCCAAGTGCATGGTTAGCTGGATGAACTGGGCAAAAATTGAGGTTCGGAGGCTGCTGTTCAATCCAGGGTATTTTTCAACCCGGAACCGATTGGTGGTGGCGTCGTTCACTTTATGGGCACAAATTTTAAAATTAATGAGAATTCATCACAAGTAGTTGTGATCAGCAAATGTGAGTGCAAATTTTAGCTCGAAATGAAACAATCCATGTCTGCTTCTTCGATCCATACTGAGACGCTGGATCAAAATCCGATTGTACGGTGAAATGTGCGGAAGGACTCAAAATACCCGGGCACAATTTCCGGAGGCTATCGGTTACAGAAGAAGCGCGTGTGCACACACACACACGCCGGCTCGTGCGCGCGTGCGNNNGCCAGCAACACAGGCGGATAATGAAAAACTCATTTTAAGTCAAGTATTGACTAGTGATTTATGTGATCAACTTTAGCCAGCTATAACCAAAACCAGCAATCACCTAGCCTCGACATGTAATTCTTTGGCCAAAACCCGCAGTCTTTCAGTCTCAAAAAGTATCGGAATATTCAGAAATCAACGGATGCTGACAAAAATTATGTTCTACAAATGTTGATGGTTAAGAAATGAGGTGTGGAATTTGCGTACTGCAATACATGTTGATTGCAGAAGATTTAACCGATGTGTCTGTATCATCAAACCATTTGACACATCTCGTACAGCTTCACTGTTTCCGTATAACATGCGATACTCCTGTGAGTAACAATCTCAAGTGTAACCCGAACGGTATATTGTTTTGCATCCACAAGCCTTGAAATAAATCAAGGCACTCTTGCTGATCTGTTAACGTATCCACTTGAAGTGAACTCTGTTCTGGGGATGTGGATACGTTAACAGATCAGCAAGAGTGCCTGATTCCTCTGAGCAACCGAATGGGCTAATCCAAGCTGGATACCCTGGATCGCGCGAAATTTGCGACAGTGATGCATTCGCGACTAGAGATTGATCGTAGCGAAAGGTTGAATCTCATTAAATTTGGATTTGAATGTATTCGAATTTTTTTCCCTCTGCTAGAAACAGGGCTACCTCGACACTGGTTAGGTCAGTCAACTTGATGAACTCCTTGAGAAACAAACGACCGAATTCAGTGCTCAAAAATGAAGAAGAGCAAATAGAATATGGACGAGATCAAAGTACAATACCTGTATGATGTCTATGAGTCATTTTGATAAATAGATTTATCAAAATAGATAGATGGCGTGTGTGTGCTTTGTTTACACCCACCATCCAACGGAAAATTACTGGCACAAGACTGGCAGGAGCCTGTGCCTGCGCTCACCTTTT